GACAGTGCCCAGTCCCCGAGTTTAAACCCCAGGACTGGCCAAAACAACAACAACAACAAAACACCAAAACCCTTTTAATATTCTGCCTGTGCCTGTTCCAAGTTATAGCTTATGCTATAACTCTGCTTGGAAGGCCCTGCTCTCCCAAATCCATTAGCTGAAAACATTGTCGATTTCAAAGCCATATTTCAACACCGTGGCTGCTAAGAAATTATTATTAAGAAACATTATTATGAACTTGTTAAATAAAGAATAAAAAAATTTGCTGAGAGGTGGGTGGTTCACTCCTGTCATCCTAGCTACTCAGGAGGCTGAGACTTGAGGATTATGGCTCAAAGCCAGCCAGGTCAGACAGGTCCATGAGACTCTTACCTCCAATTGACTGCTTAAAAAAAAAAAAAAAGTCCAGCCTTTTCATACTAGCCATATAGCTGACAAGGAAATTTTTTTCTTGATAGAACTCCAGCTAATAAATGCTGACAAGGCTAGGGGCTGTGGCTCAAATCTCCATGCCTACTTAGCAAGTATAAGGTCCTGACTTTCTCTTTTTCTTTTTCTTTTTTTGTTGGTCATGGGGCTTGAACTCTGGGCCTGGGCAGTGTCCCTCAGCTCTTCAGCTCAAGGCTAGTGCTCTACCACTTGAGCCACAGCACCACTTCAGGCTTTTTCTGCTTATGTGGTGCTGAGGAATCAAACCCAAGGCCTCATGCATGCAAGGCAAGCGCTCTACCACTGAGCCACCTTCCCAGCCCCAAGGTCCTGACTTTAAACCAACCAACCAACCATCAACAAACAACTATAGACAGGCAGAATGACAAAACTAGAAAATCACCACTTGACAACCTGTGATGGGGGGAAAATCCTTAGCAATAATTATCAAAGAGAGCTAAAATCATTAGAAAAACTGTTGACAGGGAACATTTATAAGGAACTTGCTCTCTGGATGGTCAAGTTAACCACCAGTAAAAGTGGGAAAACTAGGCATTGTGTGTCTTTGAAGCATGCAGCCCCATCTACAGAGTACTTGCCAAAGAAATAATGTAATTGTGGTCTGACCCTCACTTCCAGATTTTAGGGACTATCAGGGTTATGGGACCCCTTCAAGAACTCAATCAGCCAGATCTAGAATGTATGCTATGCTACCGAATAAATTCCCTGGTTCGTTCAAAAGATAAATGGGAAAACTGAGCTGAGATGATTTATAAATGTAAAGATACTTCAGGGCCATGGAAGCTAAGAAATTGGAGGTATGGTTCAAGAGGTAAAGCACCAGCCAAGTGAAGAAAAGAAAGCTTAGCAAGAGCATTGATTCAAATAAGCCAACGGTAAAAGGATATTTTTTTTTCTAGTCTTGGGGCTTGAACTCAGGGCCTGGGCACTGTCCCTGAGCTTCTTTGCTCAAGGCTAGCACTCTACCACTTGAGCCACAGTGCCACTTCTGGCTTTTTCTGTTTATGTGGTGCTGAGGAATCAAACCTAGGGTCATGCATGCTAGGCAAGCACTATACCATTAAGCCATATTCTCAGCATAAAAGCACATTTAAATTTTTTTTTAATATTGGTCCTTGGGCTTGAACTCAGGACTTGGGCTCTGTCCTTGAGCTTTTTTGTCCTTGAGCATTAGCCTATCACTTTAGTCACAGCTCTCCACTTGCAGCTTTTTGCTGGAGGAGTCTCCCAGACTTTTCTGCCCAGACTGGCTTCAAACCATCATCCTCTAATCCCAGCCTCCTGAATAGTTAGGATTATAGGTGTGAACCACTGGTGGCAAATTCTCTTTTATAAGAGAATTTGTCAATAAATAACCCAACTCAGTGACAGTGACATTCATCTGTCTTGAGGGCAGAGCAATCGCCATTCCCCAAGGCCCCATCTTCCACTGCTGCAGTGGGGATTCAATTCCAACCCATGAATTAAGGGATGCACTGAAGTCATGGTCATTATCAACGTTAGTGCCAAGAGGGGGCCAGGACTAGGCTCCGAAAGGGCTGCATGAAGCACGGAAGGCTAATAATGATCCCTCCAGAGCTCTATTCTTTACATGTGTTTTGGAGTTTTCTAGAGAAAGTAAGCATAGAGAAGGGTGAGAATGCATCCTCTGCTGCTCTGGACAGCCTCTTCTGTCCTCCATCATCCTAATCCTACTCAAGCTCCCAATTTGCAAGTCCCATTCAGCAAAACAGAAGGCTAGCCATTCCCTTGAAGTTCTTCCAAGAACTTCGGAACAAAAGGGTTTAATAACCCTTCAGAGTGAAGAATTTACCCCCAATAACATCTAGTTTTCTCCCTGTTTCTTACCAGTTTTCTCTGGTAAATAACACCTTTGTTGAGTTTCCATTGTAGCTTCTGGGATGTTTTAGCAAACCTAGTACATTAGGCAGGCAGTTGACCAATCATTCTGTTTTTAATCTGGGTCAGGACTTGTCTCATTGATCTTCTCTCCTGACCCCCACCCCAACCAAGTGCACAGTCCAGAGCCCCATGCTACCTCTACACATCAGAATCTCATCTGGACAGGCTGTATCGCTATGCTTCCCTGGCCATACAGACCTCCCAATCCAGTCACCCAAAACATCCTACACACTTGAAGTGGAAACACAGAGAAGCCATAACCAGCCATCATAGGTACCTAGTGAGTGTCTGACACAAGAAATTACTCCATTCAGGAATGCTAGCCCTAAGAAAGTGGTAGATTCCACCACAAACTAGTCTGGTGTTGGTGGCTCACACATGTAATCTTACTTACTCAGAAGACTAAGATCTAAGGATCATGATTTGAGCCTGGGAAGAAAATTCCTTGAGACTCTTATCTCCAATTAACCCTCCCAAAAAACTTCTGAAAATGAGCTGGATGCCAGTGGCTCACACCTGTAATCCTAGCTACTCACTAGGCTAAAATCTGAGGATTGCAGTTCAAAGCTAGCCTGGGCAGCAAAGGCTGTGAGACTCTTACCTCCAATAAACCACCAGAAAACTGAAAGTGGTACTGTGGCTCAAGTGGTAGAGCACTAGCCTTGAGCTGAAGAGCTGAGGGACATTGCCAGGCCCTGAGTTCAAAGCCTATGACCAAAAATACCCCTCAGAAATGGAGCTATGGCTCAAGTGGTAGAGTACCAGCCTTGAGCAAAAAAGCTAAGGGTGAGTTCCAGCCCTAGTACTGGCACAAGCGAGAGAGAGGGAGAGAAAGAGGGGGAGAGAGAGAGAGAGAGACTGAACCATAAATGAATGAATGAGACTAGATCCCTTTAACCTCTAGCACAGATGCCAAACCAGCTCCTCACCTGTCTTCTGCTTTGGGGTCACAGGGCTCAGGCACAGCAGGAGGAGAAGGGCCAGCCACATGGCTGCAGGCTGGACAGAGGCAGAATGCTGTACTTTAAGGATTGAAATTCTAGCTCAATCCTCACCCTCCCCATCTGGTATCTACCCAGAGGAGAAGCCAGCTCATACCTGGATGGTCACTGCAGGGGATGGGTGCCAAAGCAGTAGCACAGGTGTCCCAGCTGCTTGGAAGAGCTTACCCAAACAGATAATTTTCAAATCTCCTGGGATGAATCAGAAACAGCTGAGTGACAATGTTCCAAAAGCCTTGAGATGATCTACTTTGACCTTCCCATTTGATAGGTGAAGACCCTGACGCCTAGGGATAACCAGGGACCCTGTGATTTCACATAGCTTGGTTGTGTCAGAGCTGAGGCAAGAATCCTGGTCTCCTGGAGGGTCTCTCCAACCCCCCTCCCGCCCCGCCTCTGCTGCTGCAAGTGCAGATAGACTCATAAGTCTATCTCATAAGAGGCCCTTCAGCCATGAGAATGAGCTGGGCATTTTGGTTCCAATGGTCTGAGTTGTCTACAGGAAAGGGCTACTGGAGTAGACATCTTTTTCTCGTTTCCTACAAGAAAATGTGAAGAGTTGACTCCATTGGACATTTGGAAAACACCTATGATCTGGCACCAGTGGTGCTCAGTTGGGTGGACCCAACCAGGTTCCTGATTAATCCTTACATGTGGCAGAGGATATGCTTTGAAAGAGAGCCATGAGCAACCTACCAACTTACCAGTGCTGTCAGAGGCTGAAGAAACAAAATCTGCACGTGGTAACCAGCGAGAGCTTGCTCTCTCCCTTTTTATTGTCTATTAATTGCACAGAGGGGGTTTTATTGTGATATGTCCACACATGCATATCTTATCCCCCCCACTTTTAAAACAATTAGTGTTTGTGTGTGTGTGTGTGCATGTATGTGTGATGTTCTTAGGACTTGAACTCAGGGCCTGGGCACTGTCCCTGAGCTTTTGTACTTAGGGCGAGTGCTCTACTACTTATGCACAGCTCCATTTCTGGCTCTTTTGGTGGTAAATGGAGATAAGAATCTCACAAACTTTCTTGCCCAGGCTGGCTTCAAATCCCAATCCTCAGATCTCAGCCTCTCAAGAAGCTAGTTACAGGCACAAGCCACTGGCATTGAGCTTTCTTTCTTTCTTTCTTTCTTTTTTTTAGTTGGTTGTGGGGCTTGAACTGTGAGCCTGGACACTGTTCCTCAGCACTTCAGCTCAAGGCAAGCATTCTACCACTTGAGCCACAGCGCCACTTCCAGTTTTCTGATGGTTTATTGGAGATTAGAGTTTCATGGACTTTCCTGCCCGGGCTGGCTTTGAACCATGATCCTTAGATCTCAACTTCCTGAGTAGCTAGGATTACAGGTGTGAGCCTCCGGTGCCCTGCCTGGCATCCAGCTTTTAAACAATTTTCATTATTCTATTTTCAAAGTATTCATTATCATACCCCATTATCACATACCCTTCTACCTCAATGACCCCTTCTACCTGTTAACAAGATGTCCAGAGCTGTGGTTGCCATTCTACAATCATGGGGCAATAAGTATAAAGTTGTATGTGGAAAACACACAGCACACAGTTATCTCCAGCATTTTCAGGCAGGCCTGCTTCAAAGCAGACACTCAATATCATCCTCTCATTAATATCAAGCAGGTAACCAGAAGGCAGGATTTAATTTCTTTAGTTTATTCAAGCTGGTCATGAACTGTGCACCAACTACAGCAAGTGGAAATCCAGTTCAAAACAGGTGTTTACACACATGAAACTTGTCTAGGTAGACTCTTGCTCATTCTACGTTCATTCCATAAAAGCTCTAAAAACTTGGCAGAGCAAGTCAATGACTGCCTCATTTAAGTGGAAAATGTTTGTCTTCCACTCTTCTGCAATGTCTTGAATCTTGTCTCCACCTTGTAAGCTAATGGTTTCTTTCCCTTTACGTGCAGAAAACAAAAAAAAACACAACACTTCTTCCCTCCTTGTCACTTAGAAGGAACTCTTTTCAGTGCATCCAGAAGCTTCTCCCCTCAACAGCAGAGGAGTCTCAGATACTGTTAAGTTGCAAAAAGTGCTTTCAAAACATTCCCCTCTCTTCCCTTTCTCCCCTACTCCCTAAGAAATAAATAAATGGAGATCGGAACAGTGAAGACAGCATAGTGTCAGGGACGGTAACACATGCAACCTGCAGGATGGGAGGGGTGCGGGAGAGAGTGAAAATTCAGGAACATGGAAGATTGTTGAGTTCAGCTTTGATCCTGCGTTGGTATGAAATAGGCAGGATAACAAGACAGTATGTCTCTCCTCCAGTGTAGCCACTTAGATGAGCTGGACTCAAAGTTTAAACCAAAACTGGAATTAAAGCTCACCATTTCCTTTTTGGTGGTACTAGAATTAGAACTGAGGGCTTTATTAGGCAAACACTTTTGCCACCAGAGCTATGACCCAGCCCTAGACCTCACCATATATATATAAACAAACCTGAGTCTGAATCTGAGGCATATCTTTAGTGAGACTTGAGTTTTGTAGGTTCATTCCCAAAGCTCCTTGAAAGGATGAAGGAACTTCTAGTCAGCCCTTCAAAACTGGGCTGGGCCTTGGCTTCCACCATGAACTGAAAGGAGAATAGACCAAGTCTTCCAGCCTGGATGGAGATATCAAATCCCAAATGTGAGGCAGAACCAACATTGTGGGCCAACTCCTATGTGGGCTCCCTCTTGCTCCAGCTGAGTAATAGCTTTGGCTGTTACCTCCTTACGAGAGCCAGTATCACCTCCCACTCAGGTACTCATCTGCTTCCACCAATCAGGTACAACTTTCTATTTGGCTTCTTAGAACAGTGCCTAAGCCAATTTTTTTTCTACTACCAATAACTACACATCTAAGAAAGAAAAATTAATTCTGGTAACATGGTGTGGGCTTTAGTACGGTCTTTGGAAAAGCAACCCTGACCAGTGTTTCATTTAGAGGTTAGGACCTTTAGCAACTTCAAGAACATCACAAGAACTTTCTCATCAAAATTATATTAAAGTATGAGGGGAAAATATGTTAAAGTGATATGAAAGGGATAATTAAACATACATTACCAGGTTAAATAATTAAGTGCATAATTGGCATAAAGGCTCTTTTTATCCCAAGAAAGCAGGAATATTCACATTTGCATCCACAAACTGTCAAATGCGCTAATACTACTATGAGCAGGAAAGTTTTTCCCCAACTTTGAGAAAGGAAACTAAGGCAAGAGCTCAGCCTGCAGCGAAGACCCCAGCTCTACACAGGAAGGGGCAGGAAAGGGCCAGAGAATGGACTAGGGCCATATCTTCACTCAGGACCATAATGGCCATTTCACAGGACAGAACAGTAACCACCCCACTAATAAGACAGAACATGGGGTTTCTGTTATCTCCTTAGGATGAGTTTGAACGACAATTCCCAAGAGCAAGACTAACCAGTAGACCATTCACCCAAGAAAAGGCCAACAGCTGCTTTGACTGGATAAAATCTCCGTAAGCAAAAGCTGTAGCTTCAGTTGTGCATGCAGGATAGGTTACAAGTGGGTCTGGCCCCACAAGCATCGGTCACAAGTGGGTCAGAGCCCCAGCTCTGTTCTTTGCTTCAGGCTCACCATATATGGAAAGCCTGTGCTTCCATATGTGTCTAGAATATTTCAAATAGGGAAGTCATGGCTGTCTCCTTGAAGTCTCTGATGATTTCTTTTATGTTCCCCCCCACCCTTGCCCCAATCTTTAAACAAGCTCAACAAAATGCCCACAGTGTAGCCCCTTCGGCTGCTGCTTCTCTCCTCAGGGAAGTCTGACCCTATTTCAGGCTGAGATGAGAGATAGCAAACTCCATCCACCTGCTGCAGCAGCAAAAGAGAAGCGGGTTGGTTAAGAAAAAATCTGGCTGGGAAGCTCCAGAACTAAAACAACAGTGGAAATGATACTGGAGATGCAGCTGCCACCAGATGTGGTCGGGCTGGAAAAGCCCATGAGTGTCAGAAGACTTGAGTCTCTGTCTGTTCCCCTGACAGAGGCACTTGCAGCTTCACTTAAGGACCGTGTGTCAGTTGTGATGGGAAATGCTAGGCGCCTGCAAATATCTGTCACACAGCCTGGACCCATCAACCTAACAAAGGCTGACTCTACCTGGATGTAAGACACATTATTAAAAACAAGAAGAATGATAATAACAAAAAAAAAATCCCCAAGTGGGGAATGTCCTTGAGAGGTGGCTCAGTTCTGCATCATGGGTGCCCCTAGCCCCTAGACAGAGGCCGGCCGGCTGGGCTTTCTTCAGGTGGTCCCCAAAACAGTGGCTTCCAGGGCCAAGGCTTCGGTGGGTTCCTCCTCATAGTCTGACATGTAGGATTCCAAGCTCTGCTTGGCTAGTAACTCCCTCCGGGCCTGCAGCCGCTCACACCGGGGACAGCTTCCAGACTTGAAACAAGCTTTATGGTAACATGCTTTACATTCTATTCAGGTTAAAAAGGTGAGAGAGAGAGAAGAAAATCATTTGTTATTTTCTCAGGCCGGACGCAAGTCACTTCTACAGCCTCTACTCACTACCTTGGCTCAATGTTTTCCATGGTGAAACACAGGGAGAGGCTCTATCAGACCAAAATTTTTTTTTGGTAGGAGAGGGATTTGAACTCAGGACCTTGTGCTTGCTAGGCTGACATTCTATCACTTGAGCTATACCTCCAGACTTGATTGTTGCACTATTTTCCAGATAGGGTCTTGTAAAGATTTTTGCCCAGGCTGCCCTCAAAACTAAAATCTTTCTTTGCTACTAGGTCTCCTGAGCAGCTAGGACTACAGGTGGGTCACCAGTGTGTGGCTCAAACCAAAGAGGTTGTTCCTACATAGTAAATTAACTGTGTCCAGCCTTGCATGCCCACTCCTAGCTCCAGTCCTCACCTTCACAGGTCCGGCACTTATGGAGCTCAAAAGGAAAGATGATGTCATCCTCATTTTGACAGAACTCACAGATGAAGCCCTTGGCTTGGCAGAGCTGCAGAGGAAAGAAATCACAAAGTGAGGGGCTGGGAAGGTGGCTCAGTGGTAGAGCTCTTGCCTTGCAAGCCTGAGGCCCTGGGTTCGATTCCTCAGCACCACATAAGCAAAAAGAAAAAAGCCAGAAGTGGCGCTGTGGCTCAAGTGGTAGAGCGCTAGCCTTGAGCTGAAGAGCTGAGGGACAGCGCCCAAGCCCAGAGTTCAGGCCCCACTACCGGACCCAACCCCGCCCCCCGCAAAAAAAAAAAAGAAATCACAAAGTGAGGAGTTGGTACAGGAGGGTAGACTCGAGAGATGGGCAAATTGTAACTTAGAACTATGAGTGCAATTGATGAACTTTACTGCTTACAGGGAAGAGAGTAGGCCTGGGCTTAGCATGAGCCAAAACAGGCACAGGGCTGCAATGCTGGACCAAGTTCCAAGGAAAGGAGAGGAAAGAGACCCAGCATGTTAAGGAAGACAGACAGTGCTTGCATCCTCTCCTATGTGGAAGCTAGGCATGACAAAATGCAAGGGATTAATGCATTTACACACCAACTGGGTAGAGGAGGGCATACTTAGAGAAGGAACCCAAAGGCATAACTCCTCCTAGGAACAACTAAAGTACTATCAAAACAAATGCCATGAAATGAAATCTTTTGTGTGTGGGAGAGAGTTACAATAAAGGGGGCATAGGAATGGAGGGAAGAGGTGTGAGCAGTTGCAGTCATTGTATTCAATGTATGTAATGTAAAAAATAAACAAAGGCAGTTATTGTATTCAATGTATACTATGTAAAATATGAAACATGCAACTTGTAGGTTGGGATGGGGGGGAAGGAAGGGGGAGGGTGGGTGACATCAAGAAGTATTGCATTAATAACCTGACTTACCAAATTGTAACCCCTTTATAATAATAATTAAAAAGAAAAGACAGAGGCAGAGGCACAGGCCTGAGAAGCCCCTACCACCAAAGGAGCTTCTCAATGAAGAGAGAAAAAGGATGGTCCCACCAAGGGCTTCCTAAATCCAATCTGGGTAATGATCTTATTTCAAAATAGAAACCACCATTACTAAAGTTAAAATGTGAAAACTGAATGTTTTCCCCAAATAATACCCAGCTTCTGAGATTACAATTCCCTCATCCACACATGATTTTCCACCTGTGCCCACCTCGTGTGTGTGTGTGTGTGTGTGTGTGTGTGTGTGTGTGTGTGTGTGTGTGTCCTGGGGCTTGAACTCAGGGCCTGGACACTGTCTCTGAACTTTTGTGATCAAAGCTAGCACTCTATCACGTAAGCCATAGGTCCATGTCTAGGTTTTTGGTGGTAAATTGAAGATAAGAGCCTCACGAGGCTGGGAATGTAGTTTGGTGGTAGAGTGCTTGCCTAGTATGCATGAAGCCCCAGGTTCAATTCCTAGTATCACATAAACAGAAAAAGCTGGAAGTGGTACTGTGGCTCAAGTGGTAGAGTGCTAACCTTGAGCAAAAGAAGCTCCAGGAAATTACCCAGGCCCTGAGTTCAAACCCCAGGATTGGCAAAAAAAAAAAAAAAAGTCTTATGACTTTTGTGCCCAGGCTAGCTTCAAACTGCAATCCTCAGATCTCAGCCTCCTGAGTAGCCAGGATTACAGGCATGAGCCACTAGTGCCCAGTTTTTGTGCTCCATTTTAAGCTCTAATTCCAGAACTGCCATAGGAACACAAACTGTGTGGAGTCTGGAGATGGAAAGATCAAAAAATAAAATTTTTGCATTTTTAGTAAGTTGAATATATCACAAACAATAACAACTTGCACTGGTAGAATACTTAAAGCTTACAAAATGTCACACTGAGGATCATTTCATCAATTCCTCTCAAAACATACAAGGGGAAAGGACAATGAAATAATTATATTCAAATGAGATACAAGAAAACTGAAGCACTTGGGATGCTGAGGCAGGAGCATCTGAGTCTGAGGCCTACTTGGTCTACAGAGCGGGGTCCTGTTTCACAAACATAACAAGGCAAAAAGGAAAGTCATTTCTTCGGGTCACAATGATTGGCAATAATAAAGCCAAGACTCAGATTAGAATCCCTTTCCAGACTGAAATGAGGATTGTCCTACCCACATGTGACAATTTTTTAGTGAAGCCTGCTCAGTCTTTCTCAGAGCTACCCACAGGCAATGCCAGCACCAATTCCTCTTCGAATACTTATATATATTTGTGTTTTTGAGACAGTGTCTTACTATGTAGCCCAGGCTAGCTCTGTTTCCCAAGTGCTTCTTAATGAATTGGGTGATTTCACTGTTCACCAACCCAGAGAACAGCAGCCCTTTAGAGCTACTGTCTCTCTTAACTGGAGCTATGTTTCTGTTACTGGAACTAAGTAACAAGAACCCTAGGCCCACCCCATTCCTGTATCCCTAATTAAGGGCTCAGTTGTATGGCAGAGTGACATTTTCTCACCATGCAGCGCTCTACATGGGCAGCCCCTGCCCGGGTGAGCTCGACCAGCCGGGGCCCCAGCTCTCCCTTCTTGGTTGCAATCAGGTCATTTACTGAGTACAGGTGGAGATCCTCTGTCAGGTGGCCAGGGACTGTGTCAAAGGAATCCAGAAGCCTACAGGAAATGAAAGCAAGGAAGTGCAGGAAGGAGATGAACATTTTGGATGGTACAACATAGAAGCAGGAGAGATAAGCTAATGCGGGCAACAATGAGCCAGCCCAGGTATTTCAGCCCTCACCCACCATACACCTGGATGACAGAAGTGACATATTCATAATGCCTGCAGACTGGTGGTGGTTTTCAATAGAAAACTCAGATCTCTCCTCTAGGGAGGACACAGATACAATTATTGCCCTGGCTTCTTGTTTACCTTTTCTTTTTGTCATTTGTGCAAAAATCCTTACTCTTCTTGTTCATGTAACATTAGAGCCAGCTGCTGAGACATTATCTCTGTCAGAGATAATAGCTCAGCCTGGGGACCCTGGCCACCACACAAGACTTACTCTTTAGCCAGTCGGCATGTCTTAAACATGTTCTTCATGTGATACAGCTGGACCCGCAACAGCTGCAGAGAAAGACATGGGAAAGGCGTAGAAATGAGGACAGAGTTGACTGTTAGGAGGGCCAGTTAGTGCCTTCAGACTCTGGGACCCAGGCGCTTTGCATGCATCCATCACCCTCTGCCCCTCTAATTTAATAACTCTCTTCAAAGCTGGGGAAGGTGACTCTGCTAGGTCAGTCTACCCAGTCACACACACAGAGCCCGCAACAGCTGAGAACTCTTGAGTTCACATTCCTCTGCTATTCTCTCTTCTGTAATGTCTGCCTTTGCCAGTTTGAGGCTGACTATACAGGTAGTTGGTAAGTGTAGAAAGAAAGTACCTATGAAGCTGGGATTATAGTTCAGTGATAGAGTACTTGCCTAACATAAGAGACAGGGGAAAATAGAGATAGAGAGAGGGGAGATGGGGAGGGAAAAGAAGAGGAGAAAAGGAGAAGGAAAGGAAGGAAGGGAGAGAAAGAGAGAGAAAAGTATACAGGCGGGGCTGGGAAGGTGACTCAGTGGTAGAGCGCTTGCCTTGCATGTATGAGGCCTTGGGTTCGATTTTGCAGCACCACATAAGCAAAAAGAAAAAAGCCGGAAGTTGCGCTGTGGCTCAAATGGTAGAGCGCTAGCCTTGAGCTGAAGAGCTGAGGGACAGTGCCCAGACCCAGAGTTCAGGCCCCACGACCGGACCCCCCCCCCCAAAAAAAAAGAAAAGTATATAGGCAGAATATGAATGATGACATGGTATAACTTTCCTAAGATCTTAGGAAACCTTGTATGAACAGAAGGGGATGAAGAGAGAGAAGAGGAAAAGGTCTTTTATAGCTTTTATCCCACCCCCCTACAGCTGAGGACCGAACTCAGGGCCTTGCGCTCGCCAGGCAGGCACTCTTCTGCTGAGCTAAAGGATAAAAATCCATGTTAAGGATTTCAGAGGTCTTACCCGGACTTGATTGAGCAGCTTGACCTTCCTATAGAGGGCGCTGTTGATATCCTGCACATTGAAAAGAGGATCATTCCAGATCTTAATGAGCAGGTCCTTGGAGAAATTGCTGATGTAGTACTTGCTGAAGTCCCACTTGCGCAGAATTCGGCTGGGGATGACCATCTGGGCATTCTCATGGCAGCACTGACAGAAATACTTGCCCAAGTATTCACAGTACCGCAGCCGCTTGATATAATCTGGAAAAACCAGAAAGCCAAGGGCCAGATGTGACTTTCCCACCTAGGAGTTAATGAGGCAGCTCTGCTGATCCTTCAAAAGACAGTTCTTGGCCTTTGCCCTCTTTCCACCTCTATGTGAGCTCCCAAAGCAAGAAGCAACTCATATAGTGGGGCCCATGTTTCTCATGTCCCATCCTGGAAGCCACTGAAGAAACAAAACCATCAGAGTTGGTGGGGCTTAGCTGAAATGACCCAATTTTATTCAGTATTCCTAAATATGCTGCCAGATGATTTCCCTATGATTGCCTGTGCTCCTGCCTAGCAGGAGCAATTTCCCCAATTCAGCCCCGTCATCTCCTACTAGCTCTGACAGAAGTGGAGAGGATGTAGCATAGTGGTAAAAACTGCTCACCAGGATCAGTGCGAATGCCACAACCTGCGCAGCGGTAATTCTGTTTGGCCACAGCAATCTTCCTCCTAAGGAAGGCAAAAGAAAGGGGATTGGCAAACAGCAGTTGCATGGGGGCATTCACATACAAAGAATAGGACATAAAAAGACTCTAATTAGGTACAGGATGAGAGAGGACTTCATCTATTTTTCTTTTTAAAGAATTAGATGGCCGGGCACTGGTGTTCATGCCTGTAATCCTAGCTACTCAGAAGGCTGAGATCTGAGGATCACGTTCAAAGCCAGCCCAGGCAGGAAAGCCCCTGAGAATCTTTTTTTTTTTTTGCCCCTGAGAATCTTATCTACAATAAACTACCAATAAACCACCAGAAAACCCATGACTGACAAGCCAAAAAAAAAAAAAAAGAAGAATTAGACAAGCTGGGTGCTGATGGCTCATGCCTGTAATCTTAGTTATTCAGGAGGCTGAGAGTTGAGGACTGTGATTCAAAGCAAGCCTGGGCAGGAAAGTCTGTGTGACTCTTATCTCCACTAAACTACCCAAAAAGCTTTGAGCTCTGGCTCAAAGTGGTAGAGTGCTAGCCTTGAACAAAAGAAGCTCAGAGACAGTGCCCAGGCCAAGTTCAAACTCCAGGACTGGTAATACAAACAAACAAACATACATACATAGACAAAATGAGCCTATGAGAAGAACTAATTCAAACTGAGAATTAGGAAGTTCTGACTTAGATAATATTGGTGACTCTTCTCAATAATGAACCACATTAAAAAATATAAATGTAAGGGATGAGAACAATAAAAAGAATAATTGACAATAGGTGAGAAAAACACACAGCTATCATTAAAAGAGAGAGAGAGAGAGAGAATCCAGTGAGCTCACAAATTATTGTTTGTATAAAAGCCATATTTCCAGTTACCACTGGAAGGAATGAGAAGATTCAAAGTAAGAATTTAAGGACAAAGATGGATAAACCACTTCAGCTGTTTTTTAAAAGGTAGAAGGCATTATGAATTTATTATTTACACAACTGTTCAAGTACAAATACAGTGGTAGTACAAATGCACAGTTCAGAGACTGGTCATCAAGACACAGGTTGATATACACATTCTAACTGTGTTTCCTGCAAGTGATGATGGGTATTAACTATTAGGGAAGAACCATCACAGCCACACTCTTAATGATTTGGGATGACTCCTTTCCGCACAATCTGGCAGACCAAATCAGCATGCAGTGGCATCATCCTGCACCATCCCTCTGGTACCAGTATCTATAATGCTCACTTGCTATGCCAGGTCGCTGCTGCTGGCAGCTCACTGAGAGGGGAAGCCCAACTCTGATCTTTGTTTTCAAATGAACAGAACTGCTGGGCAGCCTAACTGGAGGTAGAGTCAGGATTGTGAGAAGACAGCCCCAAAATCCACAGGGTATATCCGTTCCCCAAGAGCACAAGCACTGGCTACTCACGTTGGGGCTGGGTGAACATTAAAGATGATCTGAGGCCGGGGCGGAGCCCACTCCAGGTTGCCACGGACTCGGATCCTCAGTTTGTAGATGTCTGCATGCTGCCCATCATCTGGTGAGATGGGCAGGGAGTCAGGGATGGGCAGGAGCTGCAGGAGGAAAGCACAGGTGAGCTCACAGGAACATCTGGGGGAACATGTATGCCTGACTGACCCTTCTGGCCATAACAGAAGCATGGTTAATAGGAGACACGTCAGAAGCACCACAGAGACTAAGAGCTGCAAGGAACATTGGCCTCAAATGAAAAGCACCAGAGTCCTAGGAAAGAGGGCCTGGGTTCTAAGAATGGGCCTAAGAAGCAAAGAGTTCTAAGAAGCAAATGGGAATAGGATCTTAAGGGTGGTGGCACCAAATGCTGATGCTGTCCCTGCACTCACCTTAGGACCCTTGGTATACCAAGGGTCCTTATGTCTTTCAGAGTCAACTGTAGAGCAAAAAGCCTGAACAATTCACATCAGCAGTGTTTCAAAATTGGCCCCAAAGCGGCACTCCTACCTCTAGGTTTACAGAGTAGTTACATGGAATAGGTCAGTGGAAAAGCCATCATAATCTGTTTTGACAACTGCTAGGGAACGCCTCACCAAGCAAGCATTCACTCAGCCATTCAACACATCTGTAATGAGTAAGGAAGGAAACAGATAGGCCCATTCCAGACTGAGGCCAAGTGAGGCAGGAAAAGTAATCAGAGAGGCTCACGGCCTCCAGGGCAGACAAGAATGCCGAGCAAATCTACCTTCTGAGGGGCATCATGTTCTGGAACTAGCCACTCTAGCTCGGAGGCTGCTGGAAGCTGCATCCCCTCAAACTGCTTCAGGAGCCCCATGGCTACTGCCTCGGCAGATGTGGAGTGCAGGAAGCAATGCGAGCTGGAACAGAGAGCACCAAAGAAAGCTAAGCATGGGAAAGACTTGAAGACTCTATCATCCCTTCAGGGTCTGACTATTCATGCAGTGATTTGTCAGCTGAGGAAATACTTGCAGCACCCCTATCTGTTCAGCCTGTGTATTCATCTTCAGATTCACACGTATAGTGAAAAATACCCTGTTTTAATAGATTCAAATCTCCCTTGCCCTCATTACATGGCACTGTTAGTCAAGGACTCTGGGACTTCCTTTCTCTAACCTTCAATATCTTTACCTTATAAATGGAGGCTATAATGCCTGTTTATGAAATCAAGTGAGTAAAACTGCTTTGTGGACTCTAAAGAGCTATTGTATCTACCAGAAGAGCTCGTTTAGATGAATGACCTGCTGTCTTCCCCTCTCTGGGTCACCACCAGTGGGCAGGCCCCTCACTTGAACTTTCCCTTTGCCATCCATATGCCAAGAACAAGGTTTGTTGCTCCATATAACCCATGGTTATTAAAGATAAAACAGAACTCACAAGGACTGGGAGTGAATGGAAGACTTGCTGGTGGAGGCCACTCTCCTCCTGATATCAGCATCTAAATGGAAACCAGAGATAAGAGGAGTGGGAAAGGGGAAGGGAAGGGGAAGCAGAAGGGGAAGGGGAAGGGAAAGGGAAAGGGAAAGGGGAGGGAAGGCAGGAAGGGACACTCTCAAGGGATATTGTCAGCTAAGACCTCAAGGGAGCAGCCAGGTGCTACAATCTATGCAGGATAAGGAGCAGGTGAAGTTCTAAACACAACTCCTAATTGGTTCTATTCAAGTCACAATTAGGCTGAATTAGTGACATTACACAGTACCGAGAAAGTTAACAGTGGTAATAAATCCAGGCAGAAACATAAACTCAGATTTGGTGTAAAGCAATGAAGAGAAAAAGGAAGCATCCTACGGCACATTAGGACACAAGCCCTAACAGGCACAAACACAAAGAAATGACTCAAATAGCTCCCAAACTCTGGCATGGTGGTGCAGGCCTTTAACCACACAGCACTTGGGAGGCTGAGGCAGGAGGATTATACATTTAAGGTCAGTCTAGGCTAGACAGAAAAACCTGGTCTTTAAAAGAAAAAAAAAAAAAAAAACAAAGAAACAAGCCAGGTACTGACGTCTCATGCTATTCAGGAGGCTAAGATCTGAGCATCTTGATTTGAAACCAGCTTGGGTAGGAAAGTCCGTGAGATTTTTATCCCCATTAAAGCACCAAAAAAGCCAGACATAGAGCTGTGGCTCAAGTGGTAGAGCACTAGCCTTGAGCAAAAGAAAAAAGAAAAAAAAAGCCCTAAGTTCAAGTCCCAGAACCAGCACACAAATAAATAAAATTAAGCTCCCAGAGGTAAGAACTCAGATCTGCTTTACAGGTAAGAGGTTCATCACTAATGTTTGTAGAATTGGAAGGTTGCTTCTAATTTCTTACCACCTTTGCCATTGCTGCTGAACGTCAGAAGTTTTCTAGATCCTTACTGAAGTTTCATGAAAGAGTTCCTGTCTGTTCCACTGCACAGGACCAAAAGGAACCTCTCTATGCCTTGGCGGCTCCCCGGAGATGCCAGGAAACCAACAACTCTTCACAGAGATAACCTACATGCCCTTCATTACAGAAGTCTCACATGAAATTATCGGAAACTCTCACAGACTTTCCAAAATCTATTTTTGACATAGGGTTTTGAAATAGGTTCCTAATAATGATATACCTTAGCCTCCAGACACCAAAATACCTTCAGTGGAGTAAGGGGTGGCCCACAAAATACAAAAGTCAGGTTCTCGGAAGGCATATGGGGCCTTACCAAGTCATGAAAAGACTGTTGATAAATCCTATCTCTCACGTCCTTCCAAGCCCAGTGAAAAGGCCTTTTTTTCTTAATTAAGCCTACACAAGGATCAATTTACGATGTCTGAGCCTATCACCACAGTTCTGGGCTTATATGGCATCACTCCAAACATGGCCATAAGTAGCTCAATTGTTCCTCATGTTTCAGCTGGATGGACATTTTCTGTACACACAACCAGGTTATTAAAATTTCTTTGTAAGGAAGTGGCTTTGTGGCTCAAGTGGTAGAGTGTTCACCTTGAGCTGAAGAGCTCAGGGACAGTGCCCAAGCCCAGAGTTCAAGCCCCACAACTGACCAAACAAAAATTCAAAAGGTAAAAATTTCTTTGTAAGAAAATGAGATTGTATCCATTTCTTCTTTTGAAAACACAGTTCTGTCCATGAGCACATACTCAAATAATAATAGTGAGCAAAGCAAAATCTAGTTCCTAATGCAGTACCAGTTGCCTATTTGCACCGTAAATAGTGCTAATAGAAAACAACAACAACAACAACTAATCTAGGCAACAGTATATCAGAGTTTCATAGACTATCTGGTTTTCAACGATCATTTGGGTAACACCACACATAAGTCTCCCCTTGTCCAAGTCACCCTCAAAGTGCTTTGCAAATAATAGGCTTTCCAAAAATATTTCCTAAGCAAATGATTTATTGGCTGAAAGCAGTGAAAAGCTTTACAAATTTCATCTTGTGTGGGAGAAATACTAAAGAAAAATGAAAGAAAATCTTAGACAGATACCCTTCAATTAGGAGCTAACCATTTTTATTACTTTTAAGACTAGAGGAAAGATGAGAGGAAACACTGCACCAGGGAGAAGAGGTAGGAGATAATTCATCATTGCTAAGGAAACCAGTTTCCATAAAACTACAATTATGTGCCACATAATGATACTTCTGTCAATGGTAGGTCATACATTTGACAGGAGTCCCTTAAGGGTATATTGTCTAGCCACAGAGTAGCTATCTTAGTTTGTGTAAGAATGCCTTAGCATATTCCTGCAAAATCATCTAATGACACATTTCTCAGAATATATCCCTGTATTTAAACAAAATATGACCATATTTAGCAGTCCTTCATCCACACACAGAGGAGGACTTTCTTCTTTAAATCATGGAGAAAAAAAATCTTCTTTTTAGAACCTATAATTAAATCAGACTTCATCATATTTGATCACCAGAGGTACAAAGAGATCAGAGTTTTGTGGCAGGGGAGTAGAGGACTATGCTGCATAGGGAAGAGTCATACCCTGGGCAGATAGAGGGAGAGCACTATCTGACATGAAGAGGGACATAGCACTTGACATTTATCAAGTTCACTAAGGCTCTCCTGGGCCTGCACTATGTTGCTTCGCTGACTTTCTGGTTGGTTCCAGCAGATGACTAAGTTCATGTGGGTGGAATACTAGTTGAAGATGTGGATAGATATAGAACAAGGTCTAAGATAATTTAGGAGTAAATAGAAAAGAGGGGCAGTTACTAAATGGATGGATTAAATGTACCCAAAATAACAGCACTTGAGAAAGATCTCAACTTCCAGTGGAATTTAACATGATTATGAAACTTTTTATTGATCCTCTGACACAAATATTTTTCCTACAGTACTGATATTAAGGCCTCACTCTATAGCTACAATAGGGAAATTATCATTGCTTTATTAATAAGAAAAATTAGGGCTGGGAAGGTGGCTCAGTGGTAGAGCGCTTGCCTTGCATGCCTGAGGCCTTGGGTTTGATTCCTCAGCACCACATAAGCAAAAAGAAAAAAGCCGGAAGTGGCACTGTGGCTCAAGTGGTAGAGCGTTAGCCTTGAGCTGAAGAGCTGAGGGACAGCGCCCAGACCCAGAGATCAGGCCCCATGATCGCACCAAAAAAAAAAGAAAAGAAAAGAAAAATTAGAAAATGGAAAAACAAACAACAACAATGAAGTTGCCTGGCATTGGGATGACCAGCACAGGAGGGAAAAACTGGGATACAATGAGGAAAGGGGTGGCACTGTCCAAAAAGAAATGTACTCATTACCTGATTTATGAAACTGTAACCCCTCTGTGTATCAGCTTTATAATAGCAATAAAAAAAAACCTTTGGAATTGACAAAATCTGAAAAACTTTATTAAAATAACTGAAGTCTAGGAAATGGCCATTTTCATGTTGGTTTCATCCTGTTTTCCTTCCAGCAGAGAAGGCAATACCTCTAAATTTTGTGTAATTACTAATTCAAAGAGAAAATGTTAAAATGGAGAACTATTATTAACACTATATTAAGAGGACAAAAAAAAGTGTTTAAAACTAGGATAGAAGGGGGCTGGGAAGGTGGCTCAGTGGTAGAGTACTTGCCTTGCATGCCTGAGGCCCTGGGTTCGATTCCTCAGCACCACATAAGTAAAAAGAAAAAAAGCCGGAAGTGGCGCTGTGGCTCAAATGGTAGAGCGCTAGCCTTGAGCTGAAGAGCTGAGGGACAGAGCCCAGGCCCAGTGTTCTGGCCCCAAGACCGGACCCAAAAAAAAAAAAACCCCAAAAAACAAAAAACTAGGATAGAAGAAGCAACTGATTACTTGAATTCGATATAATTAAAAAAAACTTGTCAAAACTAGAGCTTATGAATGTTCCTCTTTATATGCCAGCTAGTGATTTATTAAGCTTTAGTCACGAATCTGCCCTTCCTGTTACTCAGTCTGTGATAGTGGAGCTGGGTCCATAAACATTTCTTTGGCCCATGTGTACAACGTTAAGCTTTATCACCAGAGGGCACTGGAGTGACACTGAGGAGGAAGGAGGCTCTGTGGGCAGTACTGACTTCTCTGAGAGCTGGCTTCTCTCTAACACTTCCTGGGACAGCTTTCAACCGGTGCCAGAGGCTCAGCACCTCCCCAGGAGCTCCATTTCTCAGTACTGCTGCGTTCTGAAGCCAGACACCTCTCCTGGCCACTGAGAATGGTTTCACGGTGAAGGGTGATGGCCTGGCAGCTCCCTGTGGACAACACCCCATGACGGATGCTATCTTAGACAGTTCTCTCTGCAGCTTCAGAGCTTCCCTACTGTCCAGGGAGCCAGGAGATCTGGATCTTAGACCTGGTCCTCTTTTATATTTGTTCCTTCTCCAGCCCTAGGGAGACTGACTGACGTCAGTATCTGCCCCTTCTGATGAGTCTCTAGAGTTGTTTTTATTCCTTATGACCCCAGTCTTCTACAATCTACTTCAAACCTGCGTTATGGTTCTTTTTTCTTTTTCTCAATACTGATGTTTAACTCAAGAGTCTCACACTTGCTAGGCAAGTACTCTACCACTTGAGCCATGGCCCTCCAGTCCTTTTTTTTTTTTCCTAATGAAGATAAAAACCTCTTGTTTCCATTTCCTCCTCCAGGCCTTTTTTGCTTTAGTTATCTCTTTGGCCTTGGACTTCAATCCTCTACATTTACCTCTGGCAAAGCTGGGATTCCAAATACATACCATATAGTCAGCTTGTTGGCTGAGATGGGATCTTATTTTTTGCCCAGTCTGGGCCTTGAACCATGATACTCTCAATCTCTGCCTTCTGAGTATCTGAGATTATAAGCATGAATCATCATAGTTGGCCCAATAATTCTTTTTTTCTTTTTTGTCAGTTGTGGGACTTGAACTCAGGGCCTGGACACTGTTCTTGAGCTCAGCTCAAGGGGAGCGCTCTACCACTTCCGGTCTTCTGATGTTTAACTGGAGATAAGAGTTTCACATATGGGGCTGGGAAGGTGGCTCAGTGGTAGAGCTCTTGCCTTGCATGCCTGAGACCCTGGGTTCGATTCCTCAGCACCACATAAGCAAAAAGAAAAAAGCCGGAAGTGGTGCTGTGGCTCAAGTGGTA